AAAAAAAAAAAAGAAAGAAAGACCTTAAGAGATCATCAAAACTTAACTTAGGAGGAAACCACAACCCAGAGAATTGAAATGTTAAGTCACAGAGTCAGCGGCAGAACTGGTAGTAGGAAGATACAGCTGATCTGGAACAAAGCAGGGTTAGGGACACCGGTGCCCCTCGCAGTCCAAAATCCACGTATAACTTTTGCCTCCCCCAAAACTTAACCGCTAGCCACCTACCATTGACGGAAATCTTTACCGACAACACAATCATTTGACACAGTCTACATGTTATACGTATTATACGCTATATTCTTGCAATAAAGTCAGCTGGGGAAAAAGAAAATACTAAGAAAATCACAGAGAAAACACTTGCACACTACTGTACTGTCAGAAATCCACATATAAGTGGATCCACACGATTCAAACCGGTGTTGTTCAAGGGTCAACGGAAGTCTCCACTGGGTGTCTGGGACACTCGTGGTAGTTGGTGGCGGTGAGGTGCCGGAAGGTAGCAGGGGTGCAAATCCTCTCGTGTGCCCGTGCAAGAGGCAGTCATGGAAGCCTTGGGCTCTTCCTGAGGGAAGGCTTTGGCGTGCAACTCAGGCACTTAACACAGGACCTTTGGGAGCCTGAGCTTGGGAGAATTAGCCTCTCTGAACCTCAGTGTTCTCATCTGCAAAATGGGAATTAACCAAGACACTGGAGGTAAGGCACCCAGCAGTGTGATGGCACATGGGAGTCTCCCCCCCCAAAACGTCAGTTCCCTTCCCCTGCTTTCCTCTACTAGAAGGAGGATTTTTGTTTTCTCTTTGTTTTTAATGTTTATTTATTTTTGAGAGAGAGGGCACAAGCAGGAGAGGGGTAGAGAGACAGAGAGGGAGACAGAGAATCCAAAGCAGGCTCCAGGCTCTGAACTGTTAGCACAGAGCCCGACGTGGGGCTCGAACTCACAAACCACGAGATCACGACCTGAGCTGAAGTCGGATACTTAACCGACTGAGCCACCCAGGCGCCCCCTAAAGATTCTCTTGAACCTCCTTTAAAGAGATGGGGCAGGGGTAACGTTTGGTTTTTCAGCATAAATACTTTTATATAACTGAGGGACATAAGGTATCTGTTTCGAAGGTGAATCCGCTGAGGAGATAATAGTACATTTTAAAAAGGAGGTTTCTATAACCAGTTGACTGTTCCATTCACACGAAAACAGACAGAATCTGAGCCTTTAAGCACTTTTATGCTCAGAGAGCCAGCATCGTTTCTGCTGTCAGGTAGACAGATGTCTTGGACG